CCTCTGTTTTCCTGAATAAATCTTAACTGATAGTGTATGCGTTTGACTGTTGGGAGGTGGACATTCCCTGTCATAGAAATTTTTTCTGCTTGAAATATGCGGAGTGGTCTTTCAAGACCAGATCGGTGGGACGGAAATTATTTTCCTTCTCTGTTTTCACATTTTCATATTCGACGATCTTCTTAAGTGAGCGACTTCACTATCCTCGCCGCGAAACCTCCAAGCCAAATGCGGCCCTCGTGAAGGCCCATTCCACCGTGCGAACTCTGCTCACATTCGCTAAACAGCTGAGGACGGAAGATGGTAAATTTTCCTTAGCGCTATGTCAGTCGGGTGTGCACGCCGCCTTTTGAGTAGAAGGATATTCGTTTAATAGTTCTTACTCACCTCGAAGGCCCTTATTTTCCTAAGGTAAGGCTTAGTCAGTCTGTTCACCCACACCATAGTTCCCCCTGATAAAAGGAGGAACGCCGATATAGTAAACACTTTATATTGGGGTAAGTAATATCTAAAATCAGCGTGCCCATCCGAATTACATAGCACCATTTTTTGTCTAATATTCATTTGGTCGAAGAATGATTTCTCTAAGATGCTTTCATCTCAACCTCATTTTGATGCTCTGTCGAAAGTTAAAGGCAATGGTCAGATCCTAACGGCAACCCTGGATCGTTGAGTGGGAATCTTGAGTTGAATTTTATAGAAGGGTTCCAGTGAAATGGAGGGCTTGGCCTTAACTCAACCTCTTGACACATGGTTTTCAGTCATTAATCTGGGGATTAAAACCAAGCTAATTCGCTTTGCTAACGCGGTGCGGTAACCTAGGAAAGGGAAGGGCGAGAGTAGGGGAATAGCCTAAAGACCACCCCTTACGTGAGACCCTGGTCAGCTTTCAGTTCTGAATTTGGCCAAAACTTGATATTTGTTGCGTTAATTGTTTGTACAGCTGCAATTTTGTTATCGTCAATGTTTTTGGCCCTTTCTATTGATGTGAACATCTTTAAAGTGCACGTAGCGAGCAATTTTGTTGTTTTCAAACTGGAGGTCAGCTGTTGCCTTCACTTTGATATTAATCATCACTATTGTTGAAATAAAAGAAGCTGCTCACAACGTCCTATCAGTTTTCTTTCCTCTTCCCTCTTTTGTGTCTCACAATTTTTCTTAAGATTTTCTCTTTCGCACGGAACTGTTCGAGAAATATTCAAACTGATTCAATGCTCAATCAGATCGACTGTTTGCGTAACCAGACGAACTTTTTGAAAATACTTCAAAAGGCTTTTAGGTCTTCAAGAGCTCGTAACACTGGTGGCATTTTTTAAATTGGAAGTGCTACCTAGTAGTTCGCTTGTATGTAATTGTATAACCTTAGGCTATTGAACCATGATCAAGAATACGACTCCCGATGTGGGAAATTTTCCGCTTCCCTTTCTGCCTTACTTAGTCCACCCATTCTCCACCCATTCTCTTTTCACCCGATCATCTTTCCAAAAATTCATCAAGTACAGAGGAGTTGGGGTATTCACGTTCTATAGGTTACTTTAGCTCGATCCTTCGAATCACCTCAATCGGATGCTTTCGTCTCCGCTCTTGCCCTTAGCGGCTTATAACTAGTGTAAGATCGCAAACTTAAACTTTTGCCACTTCTAACTGGCTCACCCACACGCATCCCCGCCCCCCCTTCTACCCTTTTCAACAGCTCAGCCTAAAGGTCCCACCTTCCTGTTCAGGATTTGGAGCCAAGCCAGGCACATTCTCGAATCGTCTGTGCTCTAGCCACTCGCGGCAGAGAACACGCAGAAAAGTTCAAGTAGACAAGGGACCGGTATACACAGCACCTGTCATCCCCTTGAATTCTCCAGTGGGCGTCAAACATTTCCCACTCACCAACATTTCCATTCGTCTTTGTCGTGTGCCAGCGTGCGCCGGACTAGGTCCTTCTTGCCCGAAGGACACGAAACTACTCATTCCTTCTATTCAGATCTTCCCTGAAGAAATTTGACCAGACCTGCGGTCACTCTTGTGTTCGTATGGAGAGCCAATCGGTAAGCATTTTAGTTGAGCGATCATTGAAATAGTGTGTGACTTATCTGGCCCAACGGCAGACAGTCAATTTCCGATTAGTATGACCTGATCAGAGGTGGCCTGACTTAGAGCACACCGCCCAGCTGATCTTCGATTTCATGGCAAATGTTGACGGAGTTCGCATTTCTGAAGTCCTTTTTGCTTTTGCGTTTATGCGGAAACCTCGGGAGTGGTCCTATTCACAGCGTGTTGGATAACACTTATTGAATATTCTATTATGTATGCAGAGTTCACTTTACTGGGAATTGCATGATACGCTAGAAGGACGGAAGGACGGCAGAATCGTGGAGTTGGACCCGAAGCCGGATGTGCTTCGTCTTTCTGACTATTCCTTTGATGTTTGTAAATGCTCCCATGCTGCTGATTTCCTCTCACCCAGCTCTGCACCGTAGTCGTTCATCATCTTGATGACTGATAACAGAGTGTTAGCGTTTTTGTATGCGCCCATACTTTCGAGTGCCACTGTAAAGGGTTTCTTGCGAATAAGCCCCATCTCACGAGAATGTTTTAAATCGTATCGATTATTGATCAACACATGCTTTGCATTATTTTACGGCTGAACATAGTCGACGTTTCCCATTGTAAAACTTCACCAGTCCTATCATGTTTCCTAAATGTGTTGTGAGCACGGTCGTTTCAAAAGCTTATCATTGATTAGTTCTCATTTTCGTTTTGTGACTTTGTAGTGGTGCAGTGCTGTGGTGATGCCGTCCAAGTGTCGTGAGTTGATTCGTGTAATTTCTTGTTATTGTAATGTTTAGCCATCGAAAATGCCAGGCTTGGCGAAAGTTCTCGCGGGGATCATTCGCTTCCGAAAAACCATCAGAGGCGACATGGTGAGTTTTTTTCCATCTTTGCTACGAGTCGTTGCAAGTTTTCAAATGCGGCAGTACGGTGATTGGGTTGTTTTCATATTGCGGATCCCAGCAAACACAATCATGTGGAAAATGGATATTAATTGTGCACGTGCAAAATCAATATCTATTCATAAGTTTAACTATGCAGCGTCGGGTGGTGTGGAAGCATTTTGATAAACATCGAGTGTGTCCGTAGACAGAGCCGGGCATACAGTGCTTAGAAGTTGAGGGTTAAGTCGCTAGCGCTTACTTCGTTGGAGGGGGGGGGGCGCTCACTTCGTTGGGGGATACATCAAAGTGAATGATCTACTTACAGTCCTGGGACACAAGCGTTAGGGTGGGGAAGTGATTCCACGGCGCTCATGTCGATACAACACATTTAAACAAAGACTGGTAGGCGGACGCATCGTTTTGTACTCCTACTGACTAGTAAAGGGCGCCATTCGTTACGGGTCCCACTGCCTCCTGCTACAGTGAACCCTTCAATGTGGAGCGGGGAATCCGTGAGCCAGGGGCAGTGTCGCCAGTCTAGGGGGGTGGGGGGTGAGGGCAGTCACTTGACATGCGTGAGAAGCTGGAATGTTCGAATTCAACCGCGATCGCTTGGGATCCCCGCGGGTTAAGGCAGTGGGTCCCGCGACGAATGGCGCCCTATACTAGTCAGTAGGAGTACAAAATGATACTCCTTTCTGTCAGTGAGAGTAGACTAAGCTATCCAAGAAACCGACGCCAGCAGAACAAAATGCTCGCCTGCTCCCAGGATCCCTTCCCATCCCTAGGCCTTCGGACGAAAACGAAAAAAACTTAATATTGTAATAATGATTCTTCCTTAATTATCCCCCAAGCAAGGCATGGCTCCCGACCAAAACTTCGATACGATGTCTCTCCCCTCTAAAACATAGACGCTGAGTCCACCTCCACCACCAGTTCACATAAGCAGCGGTTTCTGTCTCCTTTTTCCTAATTTTCTATACCTAAACTAATGAGCGCCCTTTCGCTTCTCATAGCGAATTCCAACAAAAGATACCCCGACACTTGTATGTATTGTGGGGCCAGCTTTCCTCTCAGACCAGCATGTTGTTCATAGAATTTATACTCAAAATCCAGTCACAAAATGCATGAACCAAAGCGCTTCGAAATATAAAACAGCGCTCTTAGCACTTCTGAAGGTTGCATGTTCCGAAAGAGTGATGTACTGTGTGTTCATATTAGCATTAGTTATAAAACAATTCGAAATGATTCGAAACAATCCGAATCCAACAGCTGCGTTCTTCGCTTGCATGGACTCGCGTATGTTCCCAGCCGCGTAGGTTCTGCTTTGTGTCATTCTTTTATTTTTTTTGTGTTGTAAGTGATGAATTTCTTTTTGCTTTGTATACGCTGTATATGATCGCCTGATTGATAACAATTTTCAGATCTAAATATTTATATTACATATTTCTTTTGAAAAGCGCTCGATCATTCACTACATCAAACTTTCTAACTACTTACCGCCCCCAAGGCCTCACTACCATGACTCGAATTATTCTTTAGCTGGCTTCATCTATTGGTTATTATTTCTATACAACGAGATCAGACAGTCCGTTTCCGGATCACCAGCCGCTCCCTACATTAATCCAATAAGTAAGGATTGACTCACCTAGCTTAGTCGTGGAAGCGGGCTTCAGTGCAACAACGAATTTTATGACATTTATGGTAGAGTCGTGTCAAGAATTCAGTCATGGCGATTTCAAAGTTCAAATTTTCTTCAATTTTTTTGAAAAGAATGGACATGGTGCCTATTAACGATACTCATAACTGAATGGCAAGTTGCCGGAGTCTTAGGAACATGTTGTACATATGAAAAACTGCTAGAAATGGGTGGAAAACATTTAGCAAAGGTTGGCTGTTTCAAGCGACGGGCCGAATTTTTGAATCGGTCAAGTAGCAGTTAAGCGTAATAGTACATTAGCGGTTGGCCTGAAATGGTGGAAAATGTTTCGAGAAAATGTTTAAATTACATGAATCAATATTAGATTCACGTCGAGCAATGTTGGAGATATGTTTGTCGTGCGAAATTCTGGCAACATGATCCCACATGCGACCCATTATGGTAAGATCAGCTCATTTATTTATTAGTTGCCATTGATCCATAGGTAATAGTTTTGGAGTTATTGTGTTATCTTCAGGACCTGCCGGCTATGAAGTGTCAGTGACGACAGAGCCAGCTGCTCTTGAACTTGCTGTCAAGCGTGGTCACATCCATCACGTAATTGTTTGCGGGCATTCAGACTGTAAAGTAAGCGTTTTTAGTAACGCATCAATTCAGTTGTGGTTTATCTGAGTTAAAGGGACTGTGACAGTTGAAATGACGATACCATCAATAGTGAAAATAATGGAATAGTAGGGTTAAGGGAAAAATGTAGAAATGATGGCTGTTGCTTTTACAGCACGTTATTCATACTTTGTATACTGCGGCCTGTGAAGTCTTCCCATGATTAAAGCTGTGCATGCTGCTAAGCATATACAATGGGTTCGATTGGGCAATCGTTTCGCTTTCTGCCTCGGGCAATGTCCTAATAATGGGTTGGAGTTTTGAAGAATATCCTCTTTCCTTTGTTAGCCTCCACTACGAAGACTACCTCGCTCCCTTTTTTAGAGAAGGCCTTCGACTTTTTGGTAATTTCAGGCAATTAATACGCTGTACAATCTCCATAAATGCCCAAAAACGTTTGATCCTCAATCACCAATGGATCACTGGCTGCGACGCCATGGTTTCGCTTCACTCCAGAAGTTAGAGGAACGTCTAGCAGATTCAGACAAGCCAATGGAGTTCGTTGCAGACGTGCCGGGTTTCAAGTAAGTTGCCAAGGGATTTTTCGATCCTCAATACTCAGAAGCACAGTCGCAATTAGTTCGTAAACGTCCCTATTATGAAGGGCTATCCCCAACCAGTTCGGGTGATGACACTTAATGCGTGTTGAGGGCGTGAATGCTTATATACTTGCATCAAGACACTCCCACTATTGCAATCACTGCGGAATCCTCAACTTAAGCCGTCTCCATGCACTTGCAACCAGCTGTTTCCTTTCTAGGGTATGATGTATTCTAATTACCTCCATAAAGCGAACGATGATTATGTGTCCAGTCGGGCAATTCTGTCTTTTTTTCCTCACTACCCTTTTCCATTTACTTTCATTTTCGAGTACAACAAACCACATAATTCTGGGATTTTGGGGAGTAAATTTATTGGGTACGATAATAGTTGCTTGAACGAGTGTGGGTTGCCTAATACACGAACGCTGCTCGCACACAAATAATTTTCGCCTGCGGACCCTCAATCCATCATTATCAGGCGTGATCCGGGATCCCACAGCAGCAAAAAGCTTGCTTTGCGCAAAAGTAAACTTTGCTTTTTAGCCTAGGCGAACCCACACAACTTGAAATCAGTACATCCCAAGATACACTTGTTTATATCGTTCGGCATGTGTGTTGAGTTCACGGGTACTCGACCCTCGAGGATAAGTGGGTGTTGAAGACAAGTTATCACAGATCAACACACTTCAACAATTGGAGAACATCGCTAGCCATGGATTCATAACAGTAAGTTTCTGTTTCTGAAGTTGTATTTGGCAAGGAAATAGTTTGTGTATTGCAGTCAAACTTCGACTGCTGCTGTTCTGAATTTGATTGTGCTATTCACAAAGAACTAGATTGTCCTTTAAAACCTCGGATTATAAATTTTTACGGTTATACATGGGTAGAGACTAGGGTTAGCAATACCAGAAGGCGGGTGGTTTGTTTGCTCAGGGTTGTGTTAAAATCTCAAAACGGAGAAGTAAATGATTCCCAGCTATTTTGTGGGCGCTCCGAAACATGTTATTGAGAAGCTCTTATGCTTTGCATTTTTTGAACAGGCGTTGTAGCTTGGAGTTGCTTTGTGAGAAATAGCTGCTACATCCTCTTGATGTCTCTTTTTCTATTTGTGGTTGTTAAACGTGCAGTGGTGTGGGGGGGGGGTAGATTCAATGTGTTTGTACGTCGTTATGGGCGAGGTGGCCACTTGCTCGGCTCTCACGTACTGCGGCTCGTTTACGATGGTAGCTGGTTTGAGATCCAAACTTCCCGCATTAAGTTTTATTCATATTACTATGATCTCATGGCGCGATAAGTACTATCCTCTATAGGCAGCACCATTTCTCGTTCAATCGAAGTTGAGCCGCTGATGTGTGAAATGTTGGAGAGTGTGTAGTGAGACTTGAGCACTACAGCTCACATATGATGGATTTTTCTCTTTGAAATTAATTATATTACTTTGAAATTGTGCGGCTGCAATACCAGATGTGTCTCATTTGAATCAGCTCTGTTATTAAATTTGTATGCTAAACACAGTGTTTAGGAATTCCTTGAAAAGAAGACAGTGGATTTACACGCGATGTGGTTCGATATTTTTGCTGGTGAAATGTATATGTTCAGTAAGCCACGCAAGCAGTTTATACTCATTGATGAAGGAACTGTAGACCAATTGGAGACAGAAATAGAAAAGCATCTCGCATAGAATTTCTTTGTGTTGATAACAATGTTAAGCTGAATGTTGTTAAACTATACTTTAAGTTTGTTTCATTCTCTTGTCTAACATGAGCTTCTTGTAGCTTGTTGCCTTCACTTTGCGATTCTTTGCCTGAATTTGTTGAGCTCATGATGACCAAAATAGTGCCTTCACCTTTCAGAGACTTTAGCCCTCAATGCAAAGTAGCTCATTGTCGCTAGTCGCTCACTCTGACCGTATACGTTTGCATAATTTGGTACTCTTCGTTACGGTCGTTTGTCTCCTCTAAGCCTCCTGCCCTTCCTAAAACTCATATCTCTTAGGACTTGTTGGTGTGTTGATGTCTTTAGCCTGTTTGCATTATGTCTAGTCAAATGTGGTGAGCTTGGCTTCACTAGGTGAGACACTTTAGTAATGGTCATAGTTACCTTCGCACACAGTTTAAAAAGTGGGTAATAATCCGGTTCACCGATGCATTTCACTAAGTAGTATTACTACCGCTTATAGTCGCCATAATAGTTCTTGTCAATTGCTAGCCCTGTTCTAATAAATTGTTGTTTTTCTCACTGTTTTCAATAATTTTCATTATGTTGGAAAAATTTTCCGCCTTACTTTGCTGCTGAAAGCATGATGATGTTGAAGTGGTTGATTTGTAATTTGCAATGACGGTAGGAAAATGCTTCGCACGATTTCTCTCTCGACGTTTCACGGCTTCATCAGCATCAGCTTTGACGAAAAGGAGGCGCCGTTTTTACAAGGTTCTGATTTTCAACAATTTCAATTTTTCCTAATTCAGGTGTTCTCCTTCGCTTCTCAACACATCAGAGAAAGGAGCAGGGGGTTTCCTAGTGGCTTACGTCCTCCGCTTTCTGGGAACGTAAGCGTGGTATCGAGCATGCCTCAGGCTTTGGTCAGGATTTGTGGGGTTCGCTACGAGTTTCCCGGCTTAGTAATTGTTGTTTTTCTTGTAGCTTGTATAAGATCCAATGGATAGATATTTCCGATGCCTTCTCTTCTGTTCACTATGCGAAAGGTTACTCAATGGTGCGTTGCAGTGGACATGTATCTTTCATATCTGCAACTTCGTTTGCCACGTACCATTTGCGCAAGAAGATTCCTTCTTTTGGTCTCCTCAGAGATCTGTAGTCATTAAGGATTCAAACCGAATTTATTTTTTAAGCTAGTGCGTGACTAGCCTTTTGCTGTCAATAGTGGTAAATGTGCAGAATTGCACGAACTATACTTTGGCAAATGGCTCCAGGACACGCATTAAAGGTCCAGTAAGCCGTGTCTGCTAATCTGTTATAAACAATGTGACTCTCATTATAGCTCATCTTTCTAATTCGTGAAAGGACAGGTTAGAAGGGGCTTCTTCGGATAGCGATCATCTTTTCAGGTCATAGAAATAACTATTGCAAAGGCAACTACGGCAGAAAAGTTCCCTTCTCGAGTAAAAAACTTCAGCAAAAAAATCCTTCGCTTGCGTTTCTACGCTTTTCAGAATAAAAGTAGAGATGATTGAACTGTAATAATCCAGTCCACAGCTATTGATGAAGTTGATATCTCTGTTTTCCAGCAATATCCCATAAAAGAATGGCTTCGTATAACTTCGTATAATGTGCTCATGGTGATGGTAGCGTCTTAGCAACTTTATAGTGAACTATCTTCTTGATATCTATTAGATTTGAGCTGAGAACTGCAAAATACCCGATAGTCCAGGGAAAAAGCCTGTTCTGAAAGATTTACTTTGTGAACGTCAATAGCGATTCTAGGTTGTGGATGTCGTCGAAGAGGTCTCACAGATAACAAAATATCAACGTTGCTCCTGGACGTCGCATGCTCAAGCACAACGCGGACGTTTTGAGGTGAGTGTGAGGGTTTCAATTCCACTTGACTTTGCCATCATTTTACACCTATTGAATAATAAATACAAAGATATCTAAATGGAACAGTTTGGGATTACTTTGCACAATTCCTTTTTCTGTTTTTCATAAGCAGTAATATAATCATGTTAGAGTTTCTTCTTTTCGAGATGATTTCTCATCGTTCTCCTATCTACTGACGTAATTCACCAGCTTTGATTAGGGGATAATTGATTATTGATTGGATTTCTCATTACTCACACAGGAGAGAAGTGAAAGTACTTGTGCCTCTTTCTGAGGTGTGATAACAAATTTGAGAGAAGCAATTTTTCTTTTTTTTTTTGTTTTTGAAGGCTAGAATTTCTATCTCATCCAAAGCCGAACATTTCATTTATGAGGTATGAATAAGTCAATAATAACAATCGGATAAGATTAAATGAAGAAGTGAGTAAAGCTGATGAAGCGTTGAGAACATCCATCTCAGAAACCGGGATCCCATGATAGAAGTAGTTAGATTATGTCCTTGCGGCGAAGAACCGCTAAAAAACTGATCAAATACGGGAAGAGAAAAACATCAGACAGGTTATATATTTACTCATTAATTCAAAAGAAGTTTTCTCTATCTCAACACGATTCCCTTTCCGCTAGCGCTCTTGTTGCTTTTGAAGTCACCATATTGGAAGGGTTCGGTTGCTATTCGACTTTTTTTCAAAGACTGGGATCATGAAGACGTGAAGAAAACCAAAAGCGGCTATGGAATGTACGGCACCGGTATTGAATCATTCAAATCTTTTTTTCAGTGCTTTTGCATCGTACTACTCATACCGTAACCGTTTATCTCGCCTATCACCTTCCTCTTGTTTGTCTTGTTTGTTGTCTTGTCTGTCTGTCCATCGCAAAATTCAGTAGCACCTGGAAACAGCTGATACGTTTGGGATTGGTCAAGGTGTACTAAGCATGCGTAGACCTAAAGGGGCTTCGCCCATGACAGTTGGGCACAAACATGAACGGGTGGTGCTGGAATTTTATTTTTTTTAGATCAGTTTATTTTTTAGTTCGTTTCAGAGCAGCCTAGAAGCAGGAAAATGGACAGAGGTGTGCACTGAATTGTCAAGTTACATTAGGTAGACCCGCTCGCGGTCAGCAGGTTACTTTTCAAATAGGTGGCACTTACTCAATATTGTAAGTGTTTGATACGGAAGTCTACAACGCAGAAAAAAGTTGGTGGAAGAGCATTATTTTACCTAAGGGTGTGCCAAGTTCCCTTGAAGTTACCAGGGGCCCGCTCACCGCGGGCGGAGCTTTTCTTTGAGTGATTGTAATTTTCTACACCCCTAATCCCTCGCCTATGGAATCGATTCCCCTCAAATTGGTTCTAAGAAGGCTTGCCATGAAGGATAGATCAAGTGACAATGAGGAGGCGTGCTTCGAAGTGGGAGGCCGTCTTCCGTTCCATATCCCAGGTCTCCTTTTGATGCGCGCTTAAATGATTGACAAGTGGTAAATAAATTAATGATGTAATGTAGACGAACCATTAGTGGAGTCATGGGAACATCGCCCGCATGCGATGAGCCGATAGTGCGTCGTGAGGCCACGGATGACTTCTTTGGAGGAACGATGGCTTTGTCGACCAGCTTGCAAAGTAGGCAAAGTAGGATCAGAAGCTGAATACAATTTTTGGAGTGCATGCCGGGCACGTCTTCATTTTAGACCAGTTACTACAAATTACTACTACAAAGTTTAAGCTAAAAGTCTCGTTTTTCAGTGTCACGAAGTAGATATTGTAAATTTGTAACGAATACCTGGGCTGGTACATTTTTTCTGCACTTGCTGCGGGTGTCAGCTGTTCACCCAGCAGTCCAATGCATCAATCAGAAAACGGATGCAAAGTTCTGCACCAAGTCTGTCACCTGTCATTTGCCCCCTCCTCTATCATCTGTGTCGTGTTTTGAAAAGGTCGGATCGTGCATTCGTACGCGGGACGTGCCAGGTGCTATCATTGAAGTAGCAGCTCCTTTTTAGCCCCAAGTTCTATGGAGGAGTTGGACAGTCAGGCCACACCATTTCGAATGTACCCAAGTCTCTCACTTATCGACACATTCGCATTGCCTAATCTAGCTTGGACGGGAGCGTATCAGTAAATCTTTCTGGTGTGCAAATTGGAGTTTTCAAGAGCACCTTTCTATCTCTCTTTTGTCGTAGGCAGGCGTACTTTATGCTTACGTAGAGGTAACCCGAGGCAGTGAATGGGTGAGATCAGGGTAGGGTTTTGCCCATTCATTCATTCGAAGCACAAAAGCATCGAGTGATCCGCAGAATGTCAATGTTTCAGAAGCATGCGAATCACAGAATCGTCAGTTATGTGTTTTCAACTGCATAAAATGTCTATTGACGTTGAATAATATTCAGATGAAATTATGGTTATGTCCCTGTAAGCTTTTCCAAGGAGTTCTTCAACCAAAGGACGTGAACGAGCCAGTTAAAAACGCCAACGATTGTGAAGCAGTCGGTGGCCTAAACAGTCGGACAGTAGTCGGGTTGACTTCAAGCAGTTGCTGTCACTAGTCCATGGGCCACTGAACCCTCGAGAGATTGGTGCTGATACCATAAATTATTAGGCATCAGTCTCCCTAACAACTTTGAAATTAAGCGCTGTCGTTGACTTCTTCCATTATGATGTGTTGTTCAACACATTTCTCTACATCGTCCTGTTCTCTCTTCCGAGCAAGAACATACTACGCTTTATGAGGCCTGTTATAAGATTTAGAGGTGGGGCTGAGTCCATTCACCAGCAAATGAATCGAAGAGGGGCTTTGCCGGGGAATCCTAAGATTTATTGACCAAGTGGCCAGAAAATACTCCTAGCTATGATCGGAGATGCCGCCGGGGTCTATTGAGGAAGGATGTCTTACGACAGACCGCGCAACCTGCGGTAGTTCCAATTTTGCAAATTAGAGACTCCCGGGAGAGTTGAATCCAGATGCGGTAACTATCTCACTTCCGCTTTACATCCACTTCCGAAACTTCCTACCCATGCAAAAATTGGAATTTTTGTGACCTGAGATTGAGATTTTTGCGGCCTGTCACAGTAAACTGCATACTATGTCACACGGGTGTGTTTCAGTTCTCCTCCTCAGGTGAGGTTGC